TTCTTAACTTTCTTTTATTTAATTTTTTTTGTTTTTATTATATATTTTTTGAAAATTATTTTCAAATATCTTTTTTCTTCATATTATAAATAATTTTTTATTCAATTTAAAATTCTTTTTAATTCTTTTCGGTTTATAATAAAACGTAATTTTTTTCAATTCTAATTAAATAATATAATATTTATTTTTAATTTTAATTATTTCAATTTAATTAAAAAACACTCTATAAAAACTTCTTCATTTTTGTGTTTGCTTTCCTAATGAAGTCAATATGAAAAAACTAAAGTATCCACTTGTGTTGTCTATACCAATAAACTAATAAAAAGATAAATGATTTAACAAATTAAAGAAAAAAATTGCAAGCAAAAATTAAAAAAAAATGTTATTATAAAGTTTTTTTTAATTATATTGGAATAATTAAAATTAAAATTAAATATTATTTAATTAAATTACGTTTTATCATAAAACAAAAAGAATTTTAAATAGAAAAAAATTATTTATAATATGAAGAAAATGAAATTTTAAAACAATTTTAAAAAAAATATATAATAAAAAGAAAACAAATTAAACAAAAGAAAATTACGAAAACTAAATATAGAATATATAAACATTATTTAATTAAAATTGAAAAAATTAAATTTTATCATAAAGAGAAAAGAATTAAAAAGAATTTTAAATCGAAAAAAAATAATTATATGATAAACCAAACAAATTTTTAAAAAAATGGAGAGATTCTCTCCATAGCATGGAGAGCTCAAGAGAACTCACCGTTATGGAGAGAATTCTCTCCAAAACCAAACAAATTTTTAAAAAAATGGAGAGATTCTCTCCATAGCATGGAGAGTTCGAGAGAACTCACCGTTATGGAGAGAATTCTCTCCAATCTCTCCGTGTTATGGAAAGATTCTCCGTCCTTTTTTTTTTTTTTAATTTGTTTTGCTCATCATATAAATAAATTTTTTTGAATTAAATTTTTTTAATTCTTTATGATAAAACTTTATTTTTTCAATTTTAATTAAATAATATATATGTTCTTTATTTAATTTTCTTAACTTTCTTTTATTTATTTTTATTTTTATTATATATTTTTTGAAATTTATTTTCAAATATCTTTTTTCTTCATATTATAAATAATTTTTATTCAATTTAAAATTCTTTTTAATTCTTTTCGTTTTATAATAAAACGTAATTTTTTCAATTCTAACTAAATAATATAATATTTATTTTTAGTTTTAATTATTTTAATTTAATTAAAAAACTCTATAATAATAATTTTTTTTTTTTTTTTTGTGCTTGCTTTCTCAATGAAGTCAATATGAAAAAGCTTAAGCGTCCACTTATGTTTGTCTTCCCAATAATAATATATACTCACAAATACACATCAATCCAGCTCTTAGATTTTTGCATCTTAAATTTTATAACTACATATGTTGTACAGAAAACAGACTATGTAAGTTACTTCTATAATTTTTGCTTTGTTAATTCGTTTATTATTGTTCTTAGTTTATTAATTTAGTACATTCATAGTTCCTTATTAATTTCTATCCTTAACTTAATTTCTTGTATATTATTTTCTTTTTACAATATATTAGCTTCTATTCTTAATTTAGTACATTCACAGTTTGGAATAAGTACAAATTTGGGTTAGGGAAAAAAGTTAGCTTACTTTCAGCCTAAAAGTGAATTCATATATATTGTGTGGGATAGATCCCTGATGTTAGACTTACACCTCTAAGTACAACTTTTTTTAACTATTTGCCTTTCTGGGTACATAACTATTTATTATTGAAAGCTTGTTAGTTTTTCACAGGTGATCAAATTTTGTCTTCTAATTTCAAGTAGTTTGATGGAGACGTATAAAAATAAATTTAAATAAGGAGTGAATGTATTTTTAATAGATCTTAGAAGATAAGAAATTTTTTTAAATTGTTCTAGCTTGTCTTTATTTGTCCTTACCAATTATCTTCGGACAAAAAAATTGACAATGTTGACTGACAAGCCACCGCCACCACCGCAGAGTATTTTCGACTACAACATCTAAGAACACTACATTTTCCATGGAATCCAATGCCTTCCTCTCACCTGCTTTTAGGAAGAAAAAAGGTAAATCGTTTATTAGTATTTTGTTTTCAGTCAATTGTTGATATTATGAGAGAAGTTGAGGAAAAAAATTAACTTCACTTAAGATTCATTGCTCTTGAATTTGAATTTAATGTAATTTTATTTCCTTTGTTTTTTGGGGGTTTCAAATGATTAATTGGTTATGGTTCACCTTGATTACTCAATTCTTGAAAGACAGTGGATTAATTATGTTTAGAGGCAGTATATATAGTAATTGGTATGCAAGATTTTAAGGTATTTGAGTGTGTAGGAATTCTAGGCATTAACAATTGTAGAATTAATGAATTATTGCTCGATACTACTCTGTAATAACTAGATTAAAGTTTGATTTGTTAGGTTTTGAAAATTATTCTATTGTGAGAATGTTGGAGTCTTTGTTAGTCTATTTAACAATATCAAAAATGTCTCGTTAAATGTGAGCATCGTAAACTTCAAAATAAAGAAATGCTGAGAAATTTGTTTTAATGAAATTGCTTCATTGGTGCAATGCCTAATCGATTTTTCTAAATTTTTCGGTACAAATGGCCATTTGTAAGTTCACATCTCTTTTATTAGGGATAAACACATTTAGGTCACATGGGTAACTAACGATAAATCTTTACTTTTTATTACAGAGTATATGGTACGGATAAGATATTTGGATGCACAAGTGAGATATGGTGATAAAGCGAACAACTACGAGCCATGGATAAGATGACTAGAAGGTATTGCTCAACTAGACCCATGCTAAATGGCTTGGTTGCTAGCAAACAAAAAGTGGGATCTAGTGATAAAGCGAACAATTACAAGCCATGGGTAAGATGACTAGAAGGTATTGCTCAACCAGACCCATGCTAAATGGCTTGGTTGCTAGCAAACAAAAATTGGGTGGTCGTGCTAAAGGTATGATTTACCCTTCATTCTTGTGGTATGTTTGTTAGCTTATGAGATGTCCGTTAAAGTAGCAAATTGACTTAAACATCCTGAATTCGGATTTTATTTTTATTTTTTGGTATGACGAGATCTGATTTCTGAATCCAACAGTTTAAAAGCATTGGTGACTTTTGGTTTTAGAGACATTTTCAAGATTAGATGTCTGTTGAACAATAGTGTTTAAATTTGCTTCCTTTCAGTTGTGCTCTTGAATCCTTGAAGATAACCACAGTTTATGTGTTATTTCTTTTGAGTACTTTAAACTTGTTAAAAAATAATAGTCTTTGTTCAATCAACGCACATATCTCCCGTCAATACTTATACATTGAACACACTAACATTAGCATCAAAATGTCCCAATCCGTGCAAAGACTAATATTGATAAAAAGTTTGGGATCGTTGGTGACACAAAATGAAGGTTATGATAAAGTCTGAAAAATTGAGAAGGTTAAGAACCGCTTCTACAATTTTCCCTGATTATTATCCCATAGATTACATTGTAATTCCTAGTTACATTGCAACGCGTGCCTGTAAAATGTAGATTGTAACAAGCACGTGAAAAGTAGATCATAAATTTAATTTTCTAGTCCTAATTTTATTTTATTATTTCTATTTGCCATATTTTGCCCATATTGTGCAGTTAAAAACTAAAATTTTAATAATTTTTTATTAAATGTTGATAATATGTTTGATTGAAAAGTTGTACATTTCATTCTATCAATGGCTTTTGTTCAATCTTCTATCATTTAGGAGCCGTGTGAGATGAAAGTCTCGTGCACAGTTTTGAACGAGAGAAATAAATAAGAAATCATCTTTTCAAGTTTGACCCTTCCACACTAGTTGTTGCTTTTTGATATATTACTTTGACAATTTGGGATCAGCGCTTTTTAAGTACAATCTATTCATTATCATTATAGTGCACAACCAAGTTTCTTAATAAGGAGAAGTTGCAGACATAGTCAACCTCCTACCATATGAGCGATTCCCTCGGACCGTAAGGACATAAATTAAATCTTTAAAGACCGGTCCCCCAACAAGCAAGATAGGGAAGTTTAGTGTCCTCTCAAGGAGGAGTACCCAACTTCTATGATCAATTTCGATCACGAGGAGAGGAGATAATCATTGAAAGTATCAATTTCTATCTGCCCTTGAAAAATCAATCATACCATTCATTTAATCCATTCATTTAATGATAAATTAGGTCAAGTTATATAGGATCAAACCTATGAAGCTTAAGGAATGATATAAAATTTTAAAAAAAAAGGGAAAATATTAATATTAAATAAAAATAAAGTAGAAGAACCCAAATTCCAAATGATCAAATTCGAAGAATGAGGATCAGAGTAAATACAGTTAATTTCTATTAGACTAGCTCCGTTCTAATAAATGATTACCATCACACCTAACCATTATTTGCTAGTGCAAAACAAGTACAATTTTATCAAAATAAACGACGACAAACATTTAATAGAAATATAATAATTACCTAGTTAACACTCATGGATAGACAAGCTTTTGCCTAGTAGTGAACTTTTTATTTTCTTTTCATAATTAAACCCCTGGTTTCATTTCATCATGAAACATTTTAAATTTACCTTCAAGCCCATTTTGCCCACCTCATACTTACCTTAAATATTGTGTATTATTAGAGTTATCTAACTAAAAGATATCACTACACTATTCCTTGAAGCGGTCGCAATCCATCAGCTGACTATCTAATCGACACATCCAAATAACACTCAAACAAACCAACCCCATATATGCCACACAATGTGTGACTACTGCAATTTCAAAATGCCCAAAAAACGACTGATCCAAGAGCATGCAATCGTGTCGTTTTACATCGGCCATCAACCAACATTATATCACAGCTGGAGTTGATCTATTTGTGGGAGAAGAAAACGGGTCGGAGTTTTAAGAAGATTCATGTTCCAGAGGAAGAAATTGTCTCTCTTAATGGACTTTGCTACACAAACAGGGCATTTGACAGGATTTAAAAACATGGAACACGTGTCAAGCATTCATTGGACTTAAAAAAAAAAAAAAAAAAAGAGGAGCGAAATAGGTGCTGACACGCAGTACCTGTTTTTAAATCCAGACGACTACCCTTGTCTAAGTAGCTTAACTGGTAGAGAATAACAGAGTTACAGACTAGGGAAAGGGTAGAAAAACGGAAAAACTCATTCTCTCCTCCCACTGTGTGTTGAAGGCCTGTTGGCTATTGATTGGGTATGTGATACAACTGCACAATATCACATTTGTGTCGTCTCTTCCACAAACAGCACAACCACCACTTTGGGATGTCAACTACAAAAAAATTAGATAAAAAGGAATACATTAAGGCGTTCTTAAGCTTTCCTGACGCCTCAGAGGGATACCTTCTTCACCAATACCATTTTCCTCATCAGCATGCTTCAGAAGTCGTGCAGCCATAGTCGTGGGACCTAAATTACAATTTTTATCACAAAAAGTCAAATCAATATTTAGAACAAACCATGAAGGAGAACATGTTAGGCTAAACTTAAAAAGTTTAGTTAGAAGTAAAAACGTTTATTTTAGAATTTCACATGTTTCAATGGACTTGGATTAGACTTTCAAAGTAAAGCAGCTTTTCTCACTTCTTGTCAAAATTGGCAGAAAGATTAATCCACTTCATTAACATTTCAGCGAAGCCAAACATGCTCTTATTCAGAGGGAATCAAAATATTCACCAAGGCATGTCATGGGACAGGCACAATCTACAACTATAAAGCCCACAAGAAGGAGTACATCGCTTACCATCAACCATATCTTTTGTCTTGTGAAGAAGAAAAGTTCCAGAAAGAATGGTCACAAATCCACACATTTCTGTAACAATCTGGGTTGGGTTCTGCCTGTCCCAATCCTGTCCATATAAACAAAAGAACATTTTCAATCTTAATTAAGACCTTCGAAATTTCCCAACTCTCTTCTTTTCCTTGGTTTACCTCCACATATAGCTAGCAACCGGACTGAACTTTAAATTATACAAGATGCAAGTCAAGAGCAAACCTAAATAACCAACATCCAGGTCAAGTGCACTGAAATAGTGTTAAGTTTAGAAAAGAACCACATACAAGGTAGTGAATTATGCCAAAGAATCAGAAGGGACCGGGACTTAACATAAAGACAACAATGCAATGGTGATGTTATGGGCTGATTTTTATTATTTATCAATTCCCCACCCCCAAAACATACATAGACAAATAAGTATTTGAAGAAAAGGGATGACTGTTCTCCATTATCAGAATCACTTTGTTTTTGCCGACACATCATTGAAGAGGTGGAAATGTCAACCTACTTTATCTAGTTTTGAGCCATTTTTAACAATTGGCAACAAATGTTTTAGAGCCTAGATCAATCTTGCAAAAAATGAGCGCACTTTGTCTTTTGAAATTCTTTACTCATGGAACCCATCCAAGTAAATAAAAAAAAAAAAAAAGGACCAGGAGAAGGATTACCTTGAACATGATCACACTTGCCAATATGGTTAAAGAAGTGAACATAACATAGTAAATGGGTGAAACTACAGCTGTGTTGAATGTGTCAAGAGCCTGCATTCAAAATTCACCAGATATCAGAATTGAAAAGGACATAAACAACAAATAAGCCATCCAAAACAATTTGATGCTACATCAATACTAATCAAAATTTATGCAACCGAAGACTAAATGAAATAAAGCAGTCACTAGTCACTACATAATATACATACACTCCAAATTTAAGAGAAAGAGGGAAATGGATATAATTGTCCAGTGTGTATTGATTCTCCCCCCTCAATCTAACATGGCAAACTCATTGCCATGTCAGATTGAAGCTATGCTTGCTTTGATACTGAAGAGTTCAGACATTAGATTTTTCAAAAGAAAGGGGATTTGACAATAAGATGTTTGAACCAACTTAATACTTCCTCCAAAACATAGAAGTTGCAAGTTAAAAGCTCATTACGCATGAACAAGTAGAGAAAGAAATTGTTTACAAAGAAAATTATTCTTCACCTTATTCAAATAATTCATTTGGGTAAGCACGCAAGAAATGACAATCAAAGCAAAGACCCATGTCTGCGGATATATTAGCTGATTCATTCCTGATAGTGTCAGCTTCAATGCAATTCCAAGTGCTTTGACACTCATGACCTGCCAGGGAATTTCCAATGACTTTAAAGCCATAGAGAACCACAACCAATTCCTTTTGGGTGGGGGATTGAACAAGGAAGAAATATTATAAAAAATAACACAACCTACCGATAATGAACCAAATAGCGAGCAAACACCAATGTAAAACATTATATGAGTTTGACCATATTGTGGGATATAGTGGTATATTAGAATAACAGCAATTGCTATCACCAGAGTTGCATAAAAGAGAAATGCTGCAGGAGAGATACAATTGTTAACCTCAGTAGATCAAATGTGAAAACAGAAGCACATAGTGAGATGTGCAAAACCAAATCACCTGGCTCAGTAGCAAGGTCCCACACTTCTTTGACTGATTGAATTTCACGCTCTTGTGGAGCATGAAGAACAATAGTGGTTGAACCGACAACACATAAAGCACAACCAAGAACACCAAAAATGTGTAGCTTCTCTCGTAGAATAATGTGTGCAAGTACAGCACTGCAACAAACTCACATTGATCAGTACTAAAACAAGGTATCATATTATTTAGTTAAGATCTCCGACATAATATCATGCCTGATAATAATGCTGAGTGCACCAAGAGGGGTAACCAGAATGGCTGGTGCAAATGCATAAGCAGCAAAATTGGCAATTTCTCCAACAATCACTGTTGCACAGTAAATGACCATGAGAGGTTTAAGTTTCAGAAAATTACACCAAAAGAAACTTGTATTGCAATACAAGGAGGGAACTAAAAACTTTATGCGACAATTCTAAATGTAATATATTAAAGAAAGAACGAAAGAGGAAAAAAATAGTGAACTGAAAATGGAAGATATCAACAAGAAGGAAAGAACTCAACAAGAGCATGATGAGAAAATAATGAAAATTAATCCTATGTATGAGATGGAGAACGAGTTAGTGAACAATGGATCTGTCCTTCCATTTGCATGAATGAGTTGGGAAACAAATTGGTGTATGGTATATGACATCTGTCCTTCCATTTGCATGAATGAGTTGGGAAACAAATTGGTGTATGGTATATGACATTTTACAGAGCTCATGATGGATAAAAAGCAGCATAAAAATATTACTATAAAGTAGATCAAACAGGCAAACGCATTCGGTTTTCCTTTTGGTTCCAGTAAGTAGAAATGAGAAACCAAGAAGAAGTCATCTATGATTACCTCTATGGATAATAGATTCTTTTCTTGTTTAAAATATGTTCAAGTGGGTAAAATAATGGTGATTTGATCAAATTACTTCGACTATACAGTGATAAATAGAGAAAATTACTCACTTGTTATCATACCCACCCACCATAGCGGCTCATATAGATATGAATACCCTCCAACTCCTGTAGAAAGAAAAACAAAGTAGAAGTTAATGGCTAGATTCCAAAAAACATCCTGAGAAAACCAAAGAACCAAATAAAAAACTGATCAAGAAGATATCCCACAACAGGGATTGTCAGAGCATATATATAATCACAAAAGTGAAGTGAGTCAATGAAAAAATTAAGCACGTCTTAAAGCAAACTTAGAAGTATGACAGAGATAAGGTATGCTCTCACAATTCACATACCTTCTCTCTCTCATTCTTATATGCTCACTTATAAGCCACCCCGAGCATACTAAATTATACGAGCTTCTAATAAAAAAATTATCATTCTAACTTAAGCATTATATGTCCTTATATTTTCTTAGGCATGTGTTTCAACTTCCAATCGTGCATCCATAAGTCAGTGGTGAAAGAAATTGTTTAGTAACTTCTCACCAATTAATACGGCAGTGATGGATTGCTTTTTTAATTGAGAAGTTTTGCCTGAAGCACTCGAAGCAACAACTGGCCGATTGCCACATTAGTGATGGACTTTATTTTATTTTTGGCTAGATCCCCTTGTTTTTTATAAATTTCCCTGTGATTAAAAACAAGTCTAACATTGTAAAAATTCTATAATTAAACTATTAGATGAAATCCTACTCAGTTACTGCACAACAGTTGAGACTTTGAAATCCACCTGAAGCTAGGTTACAACGACCCCCATGGTATTCAATTATCTGCTTGAGCAAGGCAATTATGATTATTATTTCAACTGATCAACATATTCTCGAAGTGTAAGGAGGAAAGAAAACAAGTAGTAGTGAAATGATCCCTATCCAAAGTTCTTAAAGCTAATGAAGGTTAACTTCAGAAAGAGAGCACTGCTATTTCAGGGACCATAACTTTAGCATTATCTCCAGTAATGAGATAGCATTGAAATGTCCTTAGGCCGCTAACTTTTTCCTAGCATTTCTCAAATGCAATTGCCTGCAGATCAAGTTTACATTTATTTCCCATATTTCAACATAACCTCCAAGAAATTGACTCAAGGTCTCAACAGTTTATTGCAATCACAGCACAATTGTAGCAGTACCGTTTCTCCCATAACCATACATCTACTTCATTTTCAGAACAAGATCCAATTTGCATCTCCAAATATTAGTATGCAAAAATACGCATCTTCAACTGTCAACATTTCCAAAATTGAAGTCAAAATACACATAGAATATAGCTAAAAATGAAGTGTGAAAGCACAAGTTACCAGCCCTGACGCCAGAAGCTCCTGCTTTCTTTAATCCCTTTTTCTTAACAATGAAGCTGGCACCTATAAAGGCACTGGAAGACAAAGCCATCACTAATCCTTTTATATTATCAGAAGACATCCCCTTATACGAACCCGATGCCGCATCCACCGCGACACCCGCCTCCGACGCCTCCATCTTTACAGTACACAAAAAAAAAAACGAAAACCAAAAAATCCCAACTATTGTAATCTCATTGCACACTAACAGGGTTAAACAAATATGTTCCTTCCTCGTCTTAAGCAAGTTTTAACTTCGATCCCAGTAAAATTTACTGGGTCTTGGGGATCTTAAAGTTAAAGATGAAATTCGATATCGTTAAATGGAAGATCTACAATAGTCGGTGACTCGGTGGAGGAAGCGAATAAAGTGTAATTGCGGTTAATTTGGCCGAATTGTAAGCTGGAAATGATAAAGACCCAGCTGGGAAACGACGTTGGATTTTTGTCTTTACTCTCAGAAATCTTAGATCGTAGAGAGAGATAGAGGATTGGGGAAGACTCCTCTACTGGGGGTTGAATCATGGAGAAGAGGAAACAGCACCCACCTAAAAGAAAATCTGTAACTGATTTTTTGTTAGGAGACGCGTTTGGAACAAATTAATTATTTTTTCTTGGGGAAATTTGCCGCTATGGTCCCAATGCATTCATAATCATAGTAGCTGGGTCGCATTCTATTACATTTTATTGTCTCTCTCTTTTCTTTTTTTCTTTCTTTTTTTTTTTTTTTTAAACAGTGATCCAGCTGGGAAACGACGTTGGATTTTTGTCTTTACTCTCAGAAATCTTAGATCGTAGAGAGAGATAGAGGATTGGGGAAGACTCTTCTCTACTGGGGGTTGAATCATGGAGAAGAGGAAACAGCACCCACCTAAAAGAAAATCTGTAACTGATTTTTTGTTAGGAGACGCGTTTGGAACAAATTAATTATTTTTTCTTGGGGAAATTTGCAGCTATGGTCCCAATGCATTCATAATCATAGTAGCTGGGTCGCATTCTATTACATTTTATTGTCTCTCTCTTTTCTTTTTTTCTTTCTTTTTTTTTTTTTTTTAAACAGTGACGTGGGGATTTTATTTCCGAGATATTCAAGTTTGAATCAACCGCATTATTTACTCGAGAAGTGCTAAAACATCAAAAAAAACTAGTTTATCGCTTTCCTACTGTGGGATTCGATAGTCGATCTTGTTTAATCTATATTTGGCCATTATTTTTTAAAACTCATTTTTTTCAAACCCATTTTAAGTCACACATTTTATAAAACTCACGATTTTTATACACTTTTTACAGCATATTTTATAGACTTGTATCAGAATCTACTAAAAGTTTAATTTTTATCCAACCCAAATAGAGGCAAAATAGTAAGTAAATAGTGGGCTGCATATATCATTTTCAAAAATAGTTAAGAGATGCCCTCGATCAATCTTATTGGCACCATTCATCCCAACCTGCCAATTAATTAGCAACAAATCGTCCTTTGTCTAATTTAATCACTAAAATCGAATGAAATGACAAATATATCCTACGTTTTAAATGAAAAATAGAAAAAGAAAAGAGCTAAACATCCCTTGGGTCACTTACTTTCCACAATGCGTCTAGTTTTAGATGGAAAGAAAAGAACACAAGGGAATTTGATTCACAACCATCTATATGATAGAATAAAAAATTGGTATGGATCTTATAAGAACATTCGCTATAAGATGAGTATAACTAGATTGTAAATTAGCTAATAGACAAGTCGATTTTCAATTCTGTGCCCTATGACACTATAAATTCTTGATAAATATGTTATTTCATTGTCAAATGAATGTAAAGATGAATGACGCAAAATGCAAATGCGACGTAAGAGGTTGGAAACTAATATATCCAAGACTACTATGTTTACATAACAGCTATGATATTATCTTTTAATCTCAATAAATATTACACGTTGACATTGTACACATTATATACCAAATACCCTAACATCAATAGAACGACAAAGGTAAATGTAGAGGTCAAGGCGAAACAAATTGAAGCTGGGGGGCTTCTATGAAAATTTTTCCATTTTCTCTTTTCACTTTGGAGACTTCACCCCCAATACTCATTACTGAAACATTTCCAGACGCCAATCAATCAATCAAGAATTCAACAATGGCGAAGCGATCTTCTTCCTCATCTCTCCTCATCTCTCCACTCTCTCTCTTCCTCCCAAGAGGTGACTCTCTTTTATACCTAATTGCCCTTCTCTCCCTCTTCTCCCTCCTCGTTCACCGCCTCTCCGCCTCCCCCACAACCGCCCAATCCCACTTCGAAGGGTTCGACGCCGATGAAGATGAAGATTTTGTTCTTGATGAATCAAACGATGCAGTTGTTCCTCCTCTTCGGTCAACTCCTCCTCCCCCCCTCTCTCTTTCACAACCCACTTCCGAGTCCCACCACGGTCCTCCTGATTCCGATTCGGATCCCATAATTAAATCGCCATCATCGGATCCGGATCCGAATCCGAGCTCAAAGTCTGCTTCTACAGCTTTTGATTACTGGGATGAGGATGAATTCGAGGGGGTGCCTCAACATTTAACCCCTGAAACTTCTGAAATTACGGTGTCTGCCTCTGGATCGGAATCGGATTTGACTCCTCAGAAATCGGAAGTACCGGAAGTTGAGGTTCCGAGAAAGCTGACGTCGTATTCTGTGGAGATTGTATGTGTTTCGTTCTTGATTATGTTTACGGTCAATTATTTTACAGGGAAGAAAGAGAATGAAAATTTGGCGTTGGCCTGGGCGAGCAAGTTTGCTAACAAGGATTCTATTTTCGATAAGAACTTTAGCTTGTTGGGCGTGGGCGAGAATGAGGACTCTCCCCTGTTGTTGAAAGAGGGGCAGAATGTTTTTAAGTTTTATGCGAGCGGAAGGAGGTTTTGCTCGGGAGTGCTGGCAACTATGGAGCTTAAGAGCAGGCATGATTTCATTTCGAGGTTGTACAACATGGTGGTGCCGTGTAAGGATGAGATTACATTTGAGGTGTACATGAACGATGATGCTATGGATCAGGTGGTTTTTGCGTTAGCTAGGAAGAAATTGGCAAAAACAATGCAGAAGGAGGCTGGTGACTTGCAACGTTTTGCAGGTCTAGTGGCACCTCCAAATGGGAGGAAGTGGGTGGCCGAGGAATTGCAGGTGGTCTCAGAATCCAAGGAGGTTGCCGGTGATTTGATCACCGATGCTGTGCTTGATCAGGTATGCATTGATCTGATTTTGATATTATAACGTGTGTATTTATATCCTCGTGCTTTAGAATACTTGGATGTTGATTTTGATTGCTTGTTTTAGGTATTTTTGCTTAAAGTATATGTTGATATGCCTTTACCATTTAAGTATATTAGCTGTTTGAACTAGCTGGACATGAAACTATAGTACATTAGAGCAACAGGATATTGGAATTTGAATGATTAAATAAGCTAGGAGAAGACTATAAAGCGTTTGGTTGTGTTATATATGTGTGTTTATCTTATGCTTTGAGTTGTTTGTTTGGCTATGTTAAGTCTCAAGTAAAAGTGGCATCCACGTTGGTAGGCTTGAGTTGAAGTCTGTAAGAATTGTCTATAGTGCTGCTGACGTGGCATTTGTGGGGGGAACCTATATTGCTGTGGGGCAAATGAAGTTTAGCAGGAACTGCATGTGTTATTGTTGGAGTAAGGGAAGTTGAAGGCTTGAAAGCGATTGTTTTTGGGGGGAAAACTGAATGCATCAGGTGGTCTCAAAAATGTAATACTTTATCTCTTCCTTCTTATTTTTCCTTTCGGGGATAGATTCACGGCTCTATCATATGATTTTGGAATATAGAAGATTGGTGGTGGTCCGAGAGTAAGGTTAGGATGCATCTTAAAAGAATTGAGAGAAGTGGCTATAACATCTCTGTTAGAAGGATGTAAAATGAATTGAATAGAATTAACCCGAATCTGTATTGGTGGAACTGAAACAATTGCACGAATCTATAGGAATCTGGTCAAACTGTATGATTTCAGGCAGCTATACCTTATCACTCTTCCAGTATTCAGCTGATGTGAAAAATAATTTGCTGATAGAGTTGCAATCTCGAGGGGGGGCACATGGAATTGCATCAATTCGCTTGTGGGAATGAATGCCGTTTTCTTAAATAATGCATCACATATTTGCATAATAATGTTCTTGTGTTTGGCACTCAGCTACTTCAGATGTGTGTCATTGTAATCACTACCTTTCTCAGAGTTCAATTAAAAGCATGTTTGGTAGTAGTTTATAATCTGTTTAATTTATAAATATACATAAATGAGTAGTGGATAAGTAGATAGTACTTGTGGGTCCTACAAAATATGTGGATAAAAAAGTTGGTTGACTTTTTGTAAATAAGTCTTAGACATTAGCCAAACATGCTCTTAATTTCCTGTTGTCTTCTTAAAAATTGGGAATCAATGGTATGGTCCAGTTTGATTTTTGTGTTTGTGCCCTACGATCATGCAGTATATAATTTTTCCTTGCACTCATGCAGGTCTTTGGTGAGAAGCCATTTGAGAAATATGGAAAGGGTTTCATCTCTATTCATTTTTCTGATAAACACTTGGGCTTAAACAAGAAGATGCTGGTGTTCAAGTTTGCTCTCCCAGATGCTAATCACATGGCTGACATGACTCGATTGGTTGCTCTTGTCCCCTATTACATTGATCTAATTGGTCGATATAAGCTCAGCTCACACGTGAGTACAACTATACCGACACAAACATATCAGCATTTTAATATCATTCATGATTTTCTAAAATTTGACCAATGTACCTCAGGCTCGATCTAAAACAGAAGCAGCCCGATTAAAGATTGCTCAAGAGATTCAGAAGGAACTTCAGAACGCCAGGAACGAAGCCTTGCAGAAAAAGAAGGCTGAGCAGAGAAAGAAGTTGGAAGAGACCGAGGCAAAGCTAAGTGCTGAAGCTCTTCGCAAGAAAGAGGCTAAAGAGCGTGCCCGCCAAATGAAGAAGGCCATGCCCAAAATCAAGATGAGTCGAGCTAATTAGATCCTATGTTATCTTATATCCCAGATACGTCATCCCTTGAGTCATCAGTTGTCATTTTCTGGAATGTCTTCTGATTCACTTCTCTTTCCAAGCAAGGGAAGATAGAACTTGTACTAGATTTGTGTACCGTAGTCATTGACAACAGTAGACATTAAACATTACCACGATGTGTGGTTTTTCAATGTAACATTAGTTCCATATGCTGAAATTGTAGGGTCTGTTTTAACAAACGCCTTATGCTGCTGCTGTGACAATTTTGAAATAAGCAAGAATGAGATCGAATGGAATTGATTGAAAGGTCAGGGGGTTTTTTTTTTTTTTTTTTTTTTTTTTTGGTCCTGTATTGGCTGTCACTGAGTTCATCGTGAGATTGAGGTCCCATCGTATGATGTTGAAGACTAGTTATTTTAAATTTTTTAGTCTAAAATGTGAATTTTACAATCTTTAACTAGATGTATACTTCATTTTGTCCATTTTGAAGCACCAACGTTTACGGCTAATGGTCAAATATTAATGAAATTATTCACCATATTAGCTCAGAAGAACAAGGGACGGTAACTTTTTCCGGCTTCATAAGCCGACCAGTCAAAGCTCAGGCGAAAAGAAAAAGAAAAATTATACCTGTAGTAAATCTGATTTCTAATAAATGCATAGTTATCTGAATGCTTTCGTATCAAGAACAGTTCACCAGAAGAAAGTACCAATTTCCAGATTAGCACAGTAGTACAGCTAAATTGTTATAGTTCATTTCATGAACAAATTCCCGGTCACATAGTATAACATTCTTTCTTGTGTATCATATAGACTTTCTTTGATTCGCTTTTATCTTTTCATAAATAAACAGGAACTTACCTTTGTTGGTAGCCACTACACCGCACATTGTAAAAGATTCAAGTACGATTCACAGTATTTTAATGTTCATCTATCTTCTAAGCGATGGTCCGGAGACAAAATTCTGAAACTTTTTCTTTAAGAACAATAGCGGGGCCGAACCCACAACTGGCCAAGTCATAATTATTGCAATGTAAGCAAGTAGCCACAGCGATTTCCTGTTCTGGCGCGAAATCTGGTTTAAGCATTTCTTTACCGGAGTAGTTATGCCACTGGCATCTTGTTTGGTGATATCAGAGTAGCCAACAAGCTCAATTTTCTCATTTTCTCTCTCTCTATTTCTGTGATTAACTTCCTCTGCATATTGAATGGCATCTTCAGACTTGTTTTGATCGATATTCTCCTCGTGTTCAACTCCCACATCGGCTATTGGCTCACTTCGTACTGCAGTCACCAGCCCGTCTACCTCAACATTCAAATATGGAGCTTGATCAATCAAAGACTCTTGAGGATTGATTTGGGGAACTGCAATCTGCTTAGCACAGAAACAAGCCATACAATACATTAAACTACATGGTAGATGTCCACTCTCTTAGTCTTGGTAAAAAAAAGTCTGTAAGAAGTGTAAGTACCATCCCCTGTTGTCTTAATAAGAAAGAACAACAAACTGTACCCAAATATTGAGATTCACAATAAATAGTGTCTGTAAGCCAAAGAAATATGTAATACAAATCGGATGATTATTGCATCAATTTTTAATGAGTTATTACATTAAGAACTTCCCTTTTTGTAAATTTTTATGAAATGTCAGCACTTCAAATTTGTATCTCATGTGTGCAAATACTAGTTTAATCGTACAAGACATTTCACAAGCACAAATTATTTATTCTATTGCATTGTTTTGAACTGGTTACTTTATAACAATTAACATGCAGGGACACTCAAATTTCCTGTATGACCTCAATTTTCTTTCCTATCAGGATGATCTGTGTTCGAGAAACCATAATATTACATGATTTTGACGCCATATAACAACACCAGTATCAGTATGTACACGAGTCCGTGTCCACCAAAAAAAAATAATAATAAATAAATCTATAGAACTGATTCATGAAATGTTTAAAATCAAATAATGTTTCCAAACCTCCTTTTTCCTGTGATACAATGGACTAGACTGCAGAGCGCCAAAAAATTCATCAACTGCTCTTACCCACCTGCAAGTGACGAAACCATAATATTACATGATTTTGACGCCATATAACAACACCAGTATCAGTATGTACACGAGTCCGTGTCCACCAAAAAAAAATGATAATAAATAAATCTATAGAACTTCTGATTCATGAAATGTTTAAAATCAAATAATGTTTCCAAACCTCCTTTTTCCTGTGATACAATGGACTAGACTGCAGAGCGCCAAAAAATTCATCAACTGCTCTTACCCACCTGCAAGTGACAGAGGAAAATTAACAACACACAGGCTTCTTGAGCAAAGAAAAATCACAAGAACTACAGCTTATTTATTATATATATTAAGTCCCTATTTGACAACAATTAAAACAAAATTCTTCTTTTTCTCAAACTCATTTTCAATCACGTTCTCGCAATATAAATATTTTGCACGTAAATCCAAAAAATTTTCCTACATTTTAATCATAGATTCTCCAAAAAATCATTATTCCAAAACTCATTTCCCCAAAAAAACTCTTTTAAATGGTTGTCAAACACGAGCTAAGACACTATGTAACTTTAACACAGGGGCATGGAAGCAGTTCATAAAACGAGCAATTGTAATGTATATGCACGTACTCCCAAACAATACTTCAACCAAATGAAAGCATTTCCTTCATTCATACCAAAGAAAACTCCACCACCATGAACACTAAAAATGTTCAGTACCTTCCACAAATATTTTTCCTCAAAAGCTATTTATAGACAAGTATATAAAACTTTCTGAACACTGAAATCCTAAAATGCCAATTACATTTTTCGAAGAGCAAACAGGTCTTACCAGACACTTTTTGCAGTTATCCCTTCAAAAAATCCTAGGTGTCCTCCGTGCTGTGTTGTGGCCAAAACAATATTATTATTTAACCTACAAATATGACAGATAAATTAACTAAAAGTATATTTCATATTTCCATATCAAGACAGGTAAAAAGATTGTTCAGGTTAGCAGCCAAGTGTTTTATCATAAATTCAAGAGTTGTTTTGTCCAGTCTATCTAGATTTAGCAAATGCAAGGACAATCTTAGAGATCATAAGATCTTTTATTCGAAGTAGCTTCATGATAACAAACTGGGTATAGTATGTGTGGTTCAACAGTATTTCATTTGAATCTATAGAAATCTCATGCTTATTTATTTCTTTTCATTTTTGCAATTAATTGTCAATATCTTTACACACATGTAGATATATATCCACTATGTTAATCATAAACTCCATATATTGTTTTCTTCAGGTCGCAATAAATCTTGCTTACAATGATATTCCTCATTTCTTGTCTACTATTCCATTTGTTTCATCTCAAAACACTTTCTAATCAAATTTATATATAATCAAGAGATTCTTAAGTATTGAAAAATTTATTCATATTATTTCTTGATAACAAGCCATGCCATCTAGTTGTCCTTGCTTTTCTTCCAACAAATACAACCCATCAGCTAGACCAACTTTAAATGAGTGTAAGTTAAATTTAAATTCAAAAAAATAAATGCATAACTAGACAGGTGGCTTGATTGTTAATCACACGTATCCTTTTGACGTCCTTAATTACCATCTTCAACCGTAAAATGCTAATATTGGTCTTCTTCTTCTTTTTTTCCTAAATCTTACTAGGATTAAAAATGAAAATTCACAGAAATCACTTAAAAAGAACAACACAGACTACATACCGACACTCATCCCATGGAATTGCTTCACTTGTACATACTGGATCATCTATAGTACTGATGCAGAGAAGGGGGACCATCACATTTCCTACAAGACTAGAACTGCTACATCGCCTGTAATATGTATCCACTGTCTGGGAAAAAGAACAAGTATATTAAATGATTAAGGATAAGCAAAAAGAAGACGCCGGTCCAAGATTGTTACCTCATATTTACCAACAATACGAGTAGCATAATTGTCAAAGTCCCGGACAGAACGTGACTGTATCATATCAAAAAGTGACATCAATATAACCATCAATATCTAAATATATCTATATTCACTTCAACACAAATGATATATCAGCAGCAATATATATAGAAGTTCTTACAAAATTATACGCGTGACAAGTAAAATTCATACTTGATGCAGGATTTTCTTATTAGAAATATAGAATGGATGGTTGGGGGTAAGGCTATAAATGGTTTCTTCATATTGATTTATTTGGCTGGTCATTGTTTCTTTATAGTAGAATGTTTTCTGAACTTTCGAGACAATACGTACCTGTGAATTTGGTAATAACCGTAATTCAAATTACAAGGTGACCATATAACAAAAAGAGAGAGATTTCATGAAATGAAGTAATTAATTCAGTGTTGGCAAAGTGTGATCTTGTATTTTTTTATTTTTTCCTTCATTCATTCACAGGACTAAATCATTGGTCTACACTATCTTCCTCAAAGACCACCTAGTGCTATTTTGCAAGTTGGATATACATTGCCTCCTTTTACCATTATGTCTACTAAAAGTCCAAGGACAATAATGTTTGCTAAAATTACTATTAAATCCCTTTTTTCTGTAACACCATCCTCCTACCCCCAAAATACTTGATGCTATCCAGTGTATCAAGCTAGTTAAGTTAACTAAATAGCATGGTAATAAATTAATTATAAACGCTCAAGCCACTTTTTATCCACCCATTTTGAGAGACCGACAAGCACTACTCACTTATTCACCACGCATTATAATTTAAATTGTTTATAAACATTTCCCAAACATGCTTAGCATGCAACAGCCGAGAATTGTGTCATGTCTTTAGTGGATGTAAGAAGGGTAATTAGTTCGGAAATTGAACATTGAGACTTGAAATTTTAAGTACCAACTATAACCAATTTTAGAATTTCATGTATTGTGATTGAATAAAGCTATTTATACAAGTGTTGTTGACAATTGTGGCTAACAATATTGATGTTGTCAAAATCTGGACCATTGATTCAAAAACAGGTTTTAAAATAGATGAATGTGATGTTGCCAAGTGGGTGTTATCAAACAAGATTATAAAAAAATATCGTACAAGTACCATGATTGATTGTGATTTATGAATTTTTCTAGTCTATTAAAAGAGAAACAGTCTTGACTCGCAAGAGATATCAATAGTAACAGGGATCACCTTTTTAATGCCTTCCCAATCTGCAAGACGAGAAAGGACAGCATGATGCCTACAAAAATTCAGATTAAATCATTAGAAGATATTGAAAACAAATCGAGGTTGATACCTAATGACTGAACTAAGGAAAATGCAGAATATTACTGACCCTACAATTTCTCAATCTGCTAAATATGTAAGACTTCTGATGACAGAATAGGTAAGTACATATAAAACATTTAGCAAGAAGATGTGACGTACAAATCCGCATAACCTTTTAAGCCGAAGGTTAGAGCTTTGTCATAAAATTTCTGCACAGGTCTACGGTTAATGAACCGGTCACATATCTGGAAACAATGAAGAAAGGAGATTTCAATTCAGAGCAGCTAAATGGTGAATTCTACAAGAAAACTGATAGGAAGCCAGCGAAAGCATCAAATCTTTCTCCCACACTAAGATACACATAATAAGTACAGAACAAGAAAGGATAAAACCCACTGTAAGCAATCAGTCCAAGAAAATTCTTGGCCTTTGCTTGGATACCATTTACAAATTCAGTTAAAATCAAACATTAATTCCAACCACATATTCATAACTACTACTCTTTATTATCCACATATTTCATGGGATTCACTAGTATTCCTATTTATAAATTTGCCAAATGGAGGCTTGGAGTCGAGTATAAATTTAATTCACATTTAAATAGGTGAACAAGACAATTTTGTAATGTGAAACAGAAGAACCAAAAATAAGGAAAGAAATTTTAGCAATATGCAATGTCTATAATTTGATAATTTCACATTCTTGTTGAACCATCAAACATTAACAACTCTTTCCTGTAATTTTACCATACAAAAAAGGTTGTGCATCTCTTACGATTAGGATGTAGGTAACTATCCTGATTTCAACACAACAAAAGATTCAAAATGATGAAACCGAGGAACTTAGCTAAGGAAAGAAAGATGAAGACAATCAAATATAGCGATGAATTGAAGCATCCTGAAAAAGATACGAAAATAGAGCCACAACTAATTGACTAGTAGAGCAAATTTGTAAATTGGGAATTATGAACTATAAATTTACACCAGTCAAAAATCGATTTCTTTGATACAATTTAATGATGCATCAGGGAATAGATTGAGAGCTACTAACCAAAAGGTCCCAAGGAGAACAGATAGCTGCAGCCCCAATAAGAGGGACATTACTTCCATCCTCACCAAGATATTTAACCTATAATTCAATTCCATGAACAAAATCACGAAATGTGAAATGAGTGTTATACAACTTCATTAAAGATTCAGCACGTGTACTTAAGACTTCATTGAACGAATGTTCTATAGAATGTGGGATTCAAACAAATGCTTATAGAAAAGATGAGCAACTACATTTAGAACAATATCTGAGGAATTAATAATCTTCATTTCTCATCCTGGAATGCCTTATGGTAAGATCACAAGAATCCTCAATGAAAAAAACACAGAAAAAATAAATAAATAAAAGAAACATAATGTTTAATTCCTATTTTGAGCCAATGTTGTATTCAAAAATTTACAGGTGAGCATCAGTGCCAAAGAAATTAAGATGGAAAAATTAGTAATAGATAAAGGAACAAAAAAGTTACAACAGATTTAGGTTCCCAATTATGTGGGAAAGTGAGAATGCTGGGAAGGTGGATTAGGTTCAATCCAAGAAAGTGGCAACTAATACATAAGGACCCACAGAGTCCAATTATTTCAACGACACACAAGGCAATGAACCTAAGAGAACAATTAGAAACAAGGGACCTCGTAGGTTGGATGACGTATCCTGCAAGCCTATTTGCTAGAGGTGTAGAGTGAAAGCCTACTAGTAAGCACTAATTCTCCATCCAGAGTATCCTAGTTCCAAAGTTCAAAAGTATTTAGTACGTCTAAAGTGTCAAGATGTGATCCTGTACAACTGATAATCTTCCTTGTACGAGAAATCCCTACTATGCATACAATTGGCTTTACTTCAATACAACAGCAAACTAAGCTCTGTTCACAATTATTTGGGGGTGGGCTACATGAATCTTTTGTCACTACTCCATTTAGTTCATTGCTAGCTCACTAGAAAATTTTATGCAAATAGACACTTAAGAGTCACAACGAACCATGTTTGTTTTGATCTATCCCTAGATCTTATAACCTGTTCTACTCAGATATACTCACTCATAAGAACAAGGGCCTCTTTTATTCAATGCAAAACATGTCCAACTCCTTAAATCTTCCTTACCGTAATTTATCCCCTGTCAGCAATTTGCTTTGGTTAAAAAATATATCTTTATATTTTTATTATGGTAGAGAATAACAGTTAAGTGTAACAAGTAAATAACAAAATGCTGCTTGTTTAAATAAGTGGATTTAATTCTATGAAAGAAATAAGTATAACCATTTAATAACAAAATGCTGCTTGTTTAAAGAAGTGCATTCAATCCCATGAAAGAAATTAAAACAGCAGAGGAATCCCTGGTACCAGAATATTAGCACCAATACTTGTCCCAACAGTATATAGAGGAGCTTCAGGGTATAGACAGTGAAGGTGGTCAATCACTTTACGTACATCCTCTGTCCATCCAGCATTGTAGAGGCAATCAGACTGGTGGCATGAATACATTTAATCATTACATATTTAGATGTAAAATATAAAAGCATGGACTAAAAACAAACTACATGCTATTTTCTATGCACGAAAATTTTTTAAAAAAATATCAAGCAACAGAATGTGTTCTTGGCAATGCAAGAACCTTCCAAATTAAGGGGTTGTTTGATAAAGCTTTTGATTTTATCAGTTTTTAATAAAGTTGATTGAAATGTATAATTGAAAAGTTAATAAAAGTTGTGGATCCCATGAAATATGTAATTAAAATTAAAGTTCGACCAATTGAAAAGTTGATAAAACTCAAAGTTTTATCAAACAAGCACTAAATTTTTTTATGTTTCTACCAGGTAGTGCTCCTTAGCCCCCGTTTGGCCCATTAATTTTCATTATAATGGGGAGAATAGTGTTTTTTATGAAAAATAGATGGTTGTAAAAGAATGAAAAGTTTTCGATTTACGTGTAATATTATTTAATTGAAGATTGTGTGGTTGAAAATAGAAGAGAGAAAAATTTAATTAATTTTGATGAGATGTAATGGAGGCCAAACGGGAGCTTAAATGAATGATTACGGTGAGTTTTGGTGGCCTTCACCCTGGCTCCCTTTCTTGTCTCCTCTCTTCCCCTCTTGTGCAACTCGATCCATAAATTTCTTCAAACTAAACATCTATCACAGTATCATAACTAGATACAGCCCATAACTAAATTACTCGAATATATCAATAGAATCATTTTATTATTTCTGCTAATGATTCTAACCAAAATAAATTTTTTGGGCACAACAAGAATTTGTATCCTCAAATCATGTCAAAGGGGTTTGCATTTATTGTGGAAATTCTACCTTTCCATCCCTTGGATGGATAAAGATGGAGGGCAGAGTTTTTTATTTTTTAATGTTGTCGAACAGTTGAACCATGATTCTTCGTGTTGTCCAAGATTTGAGCAGTTGGGTCCCAAACAGTAGTATGCATTCAATTTTGTCATTCAAAAAAGTTTTATGGAACCAAATCTATTAACTTAAAACTCAACACTAAAAACAAAAGTAACATCCAAAATAGTTACATAATAATTAAACAATAAGAAGGGAAATGTACCGTATGATCATTTAAATGGTACTAGCATTGCAATTTATATTATAATCATTATTTATTTGGACAACATTTTGATCATTACCACAAGTTACATTTAGTAATTTAGTAGCTCTACTCAGAGGTGGAGCTGCTTAAGAAAAATAATAAATTTACTTACTTTAGTTAAAAACTTTGTTCAGTATAATCTAAAAGTAATCATTTTGAATAAACAGTAATAAAATAGAATAAAATATGGCACACAAAAAATTGACAACACTGTATTTTTTTTTTTTTAAAAAAAAAAAATCAAGTTTTGATTAAAACAAACTAAATAAACCAAAAATGATTGTTAAAATAAATGGATATCAAAGTTATCAATGCACATAAGTACAAAATAAAGTAAACAGCCAGTAAAATTTCCTTTCTGGACTTATAAGTAAGAAAAATACATTTAAAATCAAGTTATTAATTAACTAACCATCCTTCTTTGAAAGTTTTACACAATTTTCTTCGCAAATGACTGTCCACTCAACTATATTTTGATGAGAATTATGCGTAAAAGAATTTGAGTAATTCTTTTTCTAGATTTTATAATTACAAGTGACGGAAACATTTAGGTCCCGAGCGATTAAGTTAAGTGTTATTTATAGCATTTTTCAACTTTATCTTTCTAAAAGTGAAAAAAATTAAGGCAGAAGTTGACAAATTATTGTAAACAAGACGAAATATGCAAATGGAAGAAAAGGTCAGAAAACTCAAAAGTCATTTTTAAATATTGGGGATGAATTTGCCAGAGACTATAAAAGTTGGGGATTGATTGCACAAATTTCCCAAGAGAAGAGAAAAAGGAAAAGGACATGAGGGGAAATTGGGATTGAATTCATGACCTTTCATAAAGGAAAATGAAAACTAAAACAGTAAGCTATGAAGGTAAAAAGGAAAGGAAAAGTCCAGAATTTTGACACTCCTTTGAGTTTGGGTCTGAAGTGAGGGCCTCACCTGCCTCACCTCAGGTCTGGCCCTGCAACTAGATACTCTATATATATATATATATATATATATATATATATATAAAACAAAACCCATCAAAATTAATCACAATAGATAAATATAATATAAAGTAGTCCCTCCCTTGCCGAAACAAATCTATCAATTCCAATTGAAATATTCATGCAAAGCGTACTCACAGTTATTGATACACCCCCAAGGCCCCGATGATTGCTCACAACAACATTCCAGCCACTCTTAGCCATCTTGAAAACCAAATGCTTGACATACTGTTTAACACGAAACACATTAGGAAGAGAAAAACAGTCAGACTAATTCTGGGTTATAATACACTGAAAAGCCAAAAGAACATTATTTCTTTTAACTGATCATGAATGCCTAAATCTCCAAGAAAATATATCCTCGTACAAAAACTAGTTCTTGTCTTCTAGATAATAGTACATTAAAGAGAAAAAAGTAGTAAAAGCAAGTCTTCTAGCTAAAAGATGATAGTAAAAGTCCTAAAATACAAAGACCTGCACAAGACTATTTAATGCTTATTTGTATTATAGCAATCAAAAAGAAATTAATGGAGAAAAAATATTGAGAGTTATCCACAGTGCATTTCTAAATCACGAGATTTCCTTTTGACCTGTTTTTCATGTCATCTCAAAATCACATTTGAACCTCACTATTGCAGAATTCAAATAGACCTTTACAGCCAACAATTAAGAATCACAAAAGAAGGATATTTGGAAAAAAAAAGTTGGAAATTGGCCACATGCCAGCATGATAATGAGTTGACAAAGTACATTTCCATACTAACTTTATATGGAATGCTTCCAAAGAGAGAACTAACAGAACAAATCCTTTTTACTGTTGCTATAGCAACACAAGATAAGATATACTTACATTTACGAATGCATATACATAGATGGGTACAATAAGAACTTTTGTTCAATATTCTAAAACATATGGAATAAGATTCTCAACCAGTATCATCAACTATCTCTAGAGTTTGGCACCATTTTTACGAAGAACTTAACCAATAAAACCGCTTCGATCACTAACATTTCCTAAGTTATTCAAAGTTTATTTGCTTTAATTCCATGAGGAAGAGTCATGGCACGACCTTCAATGAAGACAACTACAAGCTCTTTCAGAAGGAAAGTTTAATGTCTGGTAAGAAAAAGTGAACTGGGATGGGATGGGGAAGAGTGGCAACATTTGGATACGACCACATTTATTTGTAAGAAAAGGAAGAAATTACGTTAACAACAAACATAATATACTGACTGAGAGAAGACAACCAAAAAAAAAATTAAAAAAAAAAAAATGGAATGGTTTGAAAGCAATGGATAGCTTACAGCAGAATCAGAATCACTTGTTAAGCCAGGAACGACAATCATGATTGGATCTTTACCATCAATCTGAACTGCATCATTTAGTTGAGTAGCTTGTTTCTTAACTAAAAATAAAAAGGACAAAATCAGCAACAAATAATTTTACATAAATGACAAATATATATCAATTAAGTCGATAAACAAGTTATAGCAGATATGTCCTCGAAACAACATGGACTACAATGAATTCTTCAAGGATATGTAACATCATTTATGATCAAAACTTCACCTAAACAATATTTTATTGAGATATAGTTCAAGGTTAAAAACATTAAAACACAGTTAAGAAAAATAAAGTGAAAGACACTTTACCTTCAGCATTCGTTAGCCAATCCAGAGCTATGGTCCCTTCATCTGAGGTTATAAAAAGCTGTCTGGACATTGCATAGAATCAGTACTAGCAAAAAACTTCGTTTCATGAAACAATGGATCTTTGCAAGTATTTTAGTCCCAAGCTACTCGAGAAATACAGAAATTCAAATGTACCAATATATAAATAAAAAATCCATTTGCATTGTCGCACTGATTGTTCTTGTTTCAAAAGAGTGTAAAGTGTTAATAATCAGTCCATATAAATGTTATTAGATCAAACCTCACCTCTTATAGTTGACAACAGGTGGCCTTCCAAAAAAATGTAAAAATCCAGTCTGAAGATGAGGACTGCAGAGCCATGGAGTCGATAAATACCTATTTTTAATCACCCAAATATAATAAAAATTAAAAAACAAATTCGTTTGAAAAGTGATAGAGTATAAAATCCGTGAAATAAAAACAGGGAATAAAACCCTAAACAAGCAATTTACCTAGTAAAATCTAGTTGCGCTATTGTTAAGTTAACTATAACTTTTAATTTATTTATTTCCCCTCTATACCTTCCATGAAGAGTTTTACACCGGGAAGCAATATCTTGGTAGACTTGAGAGGAAGAATTGAAAGTCAAAGTAACTGGTTGTCCTCTGAACCCGGTGAATAGATCTCCAAGAACGTGCATTTCCAGAAAATTATACAGAAATACAATCAAAACAAACAAAAGTCCGAATAAATAATGAGAAATTGGTATCAACAGAGCAGCTTTGAACAATAACTCATACGGCGAATCAACGTCCAATAACTCCATGGAATCTACCCAATTCATTGTCAGATACTCAATTTGAATGTAGTTTTGGTGAATCGAAAATGCTTTAAATTGGACGGTTGGGGTCGCGTGGGGTGGGATGGGGTGGCCTAGGTAGTTAGTTCAATGGGAATTGCCAATGGGAGGCTGTCGTCCTTTGACTTTGGAAGCGGGAAGCCAATATGGAATCGCCACGTCAACGAGGTGGAAATTATGGTTTGCTCATGGGATCAAAGGAGTGGGGTGAAAAAGGCTGTAGCCTGTTCGATTGTCAAGAATATCTAAGGTCTGCGGCCTGCCAATTCTAGTAATTTCCGATCTTGTTGCAACGGACGGGAATCATTTCATTTGGCACCATCGTTGCCTTAAATTAATATTTTTTTTATATATTCAAAACAAATACATATTATGCCTGAGCCCCATTTTGAAGGAGAAAATGAATTTTTGAATAGTGTATTGATAAAAAATATATTGTTAAAAAATAAGAAAATATTTTTGATTTGCGTATAATATTATTTTATTGAAAAATGTGTGATTTAAATGGTATCAAATCACTGTTGAAAAATATATTTTGGTGGAAAAATGGGACTCAAACAAGGGCCATAACAATATAGTCAAAGTGATAATTTGATCAATCAATAGAAAAAAAAAATTCATTGTATAAATCATAACTCAACAGGAAAAATAAAAATAATTTATACTTTAAAGACTCGTTGCGATTACCTGCTATATGCCTTGGAAATAGGATGCCCGAAGTATTGCTTTGGTGTATTTGAGATTACATCACCCCTTCAGAAAACAAAAGACAAAATTCATTGGCATATTTTATTCCGAAAACAAAAGATGGCCTCAAAACCATGGATGACTCTCTCATGGTGTTACACAAGGATAGGAGTACATTTTAACCCAAACTCTTCTATAGACAAAATGTGCCTCCAATGTAGGAGCCGTATACCATTGACTTATCCTTTATAAGATCTTAGATACAGCAAGAAATCTACTCCTCGAACAACCTATGTTGTATTGCCCATCATGTTGCCTCTGGAAAATCCCTCCATCCAATTTCCTTGATTGATTCGAGCCCCGCCACCACCCTAGAATCACCACCACCACCACCCACGACGTCAACACTGAAAAAGAAGAAGGTTTGGCATACGCAAAAGAAAAGGGACTCGAATCCAAGGGGCAAAGGGTTCGAAAATCTAAAATCCCAATCCATCATTGGACCACTCGTGACCCATCGGTTATCTCCAATATGACCATCATTTGAAGTTGGATGTATTCTTCGTCATTTTTCACCAATCAAAAAAGTTGAAAATATTGTTCCCCACTTTTTGTAATGCGAGCAACTGGCTGCCGACTCCCAACCTTCCGATTCTTGCTATCATTGATCTCCTCCTCCTACCCCATCCTTCACGTTTTTTTTTTAAACAGTGCTACTGTGCGTGTTCATGAAAATGTAATCTAAATCTATCTGTTGACACACTAAAAGTACAGCCCAAATCAAATAACCCAAAGAGTGAAACCCAATTGAGGAATCCAGGATAAAGGTCCAAACAGAATTATTGATGAATGCGGTGGAAGCCCACGAACACGGTAACATCATCGCTCAAGCTTGCAAGACGCCCAGAATCTGAGCGAATGGAGTACCTTACGGTCATCCAGAGCGATAACCCCGTTCTCACCCAAACCTTCGAATCACCCAGGATCTTAGCAAGCATAAAACATTATGGTTATTCAGAATAGCAGTTATTGAAGCAGTTATTGACTGATCTTATCACATTCCACGATTCAAGGAGCCCAATTAAAGGCGGTTGAATGACAAAGAGTAATAGCAACAGTTAGAGACGGCAGTTCCACGACAAGTTAGCCATCATAAAGAAAGTGGGTAGTTATACAGCAATCAAGCAGTTTCCAAGCGGTTTGTCACGAAGAAATCATCAAGGGAATATAAAAGGAAGAGAAGACATAGAGAAAAGGACCCCGAATCAAACACTCTCAAACAGAGAATATGTAATTTTAATTCCTTAGTTTAGATTTAAACACTTCTTTTAGTACTCGTGTGTTTGCGCCCCTTGGAGGCATTCTGTTTATTTCCAATTGTAAGTCATCGCCAATAAAACACCCCCTTTTGAGATTTCGTCTCAAGAGGTCTGTTCCTTACACAATCGTCTGATCCCTTTTTTAATTGTTAGCGACTACCCGCGCGAAATAATTTGGCACGCCCGATGGGACCTTGGTGCTTAGTGTTGAAGATACAAAAGGTGAAATAATATGCCTCACAAATCTGATAAGGAAGCAGCAAGTCAGGGA